CCCTAGAGCAAGCCACACCCTCAGAGCCACACCCCCAGAGCAAGCCACACCCTCACAGCCAGGTTCCACTGGGTCTATGGAAACTGTAAAGTCATTGAGGCCCAGAGAGGGAAAGAGACTTGCCTGAGGTCACTCAGCGAATATCTGAGGTGTCAGGAGGACCGCCTCCCCAGGTCTCTGGGCGGGTGGGTGATTTCCTGGGTCCTACTGCACAGCAGGCTGAGGGGCCCTGCCCAGGGTTCACAGGGCTCTGCTCTTATCTCCCCAGCCTCGTCCTCCACACCCTTTTCCTCACCTACCATGAACCATGCCTTTTCCTGCACCAACCCCAGCACCCTGCCCCGCGGATCCCAGCCCATGAGCCCCAGGACCACCATGGGGCGGAGGAGGCAGCGGAGGAGGGAGCACAGGAGTTCGTGTAAGCCTTTGGTCCCTTTGGGCCACCTGTATGATGGGAGTGAGGTTTTCCAGAGGGCGGAGCAGGACACCTGGGGAGGCAGGGCAGGCCGGGCTTAATGGCTCACGCCTGTCATCCCAGCGGCATGGGAGGCTGAGGCAGGAGGATCCTAAGTTGGAGGCTAGCCTCAGCAACTTAAGGAGGCCCTAAGCAACTTAGTGAGACCCTAAATAAAAAATAAAAAGGGCTGCGGATGTGGCTCAGTGGTGAAGTGCCCCTGGGTTTAATCCAAGATTCTGATCCATGCTATGACACCGATGTCCTCTGAAAATATTCTGCCAAGAAGCCAGTCGCTAAAGATCATGTACTATATGATTCTGTTTCCATGAAACATCCAGAAAACGGAAAACTTATAGAGACAAAAAGATGGATAGTGGCCAAGGGCTGGGTGAGATGGGAGGATTGGGAGCAATAACAAAGTTTCCCTGGGGACAATCAACCTATTGATTGTGGTGAACACACTAAAACCGTTGAAATTGGTCACTTTAAATGGGCAACTACTCTGACAGGTGACTTGTATCTCAATGAAACCATTACCACTGGTGTATCCACCCTGTATATGCTACCCTCCCGTCAATTAATAGCTATTATCACATTGACCATCTTGATATTGCAGTGACGCTTATTTTACTTCAGAATGGCCTCAAAGACCGAGCCTAGGATGCTGGCAGGATATTGGTTTTATTCTATTTTATTAATAGTTATTGTTAGTCTCTTACTGCAGCTGATTTATAAATTAAACTTTGTCATAGGTATGTGTGTCTAGGAAAAAGTATAGTTTACACAGGGTTCGGGTCTTGGAACGCATCCCATGCGATTCAGAAGGAACTAGGGTAACATAATTATGCAGAGCCCCAGAATCTCTGTGTTACAAAATCAGGTCCCCACATACTGTCTTCTTTAGTCCTTGCCCCAAGCAGGTAGGAGTCATGATCCTGTGGCACAGATGAGAAAACTAAGGCTCAGAGTGGACCCCAGGTCAAGTCAGGACTCTTGCTTATGAGGCCCTCAGGCTCTGGTGTGGGTGGGCTCTGGTAAGGCCTCTCTGGGGCAGGCCACCTGAGTGCCATGATCACCTGTCCCCAGTGTCCCTGGCTTCCAGCACGGTGGGGCCAGGTGGGCAGATCGTACACACAGAGACCACGGAGGTCATACTCTGCGGAGACCCCCTCAATGGCTTCGGCCTGCAGCTCCAGGGTGGCTTCTTCGCCACTGAGACCCTGTCCTCTCCACCCTTGGTGCGCTTCATTGAGCCCGACAGCCCGGCTGAGAGGTGAGCCTGCTGCTCTTTCCCTTTGTCCAGTGTATCCACCCTGTATATGCTACCCTCCCGTCAATTGATAGCCATTACCACATTGACCATCTCGGTATTGCCTCAAAGACCAAGTGTAGTGATGCTGGCAGGATATGGGGTTTATTCTATAAAACTGACAAAGGGGACAGTGGGGAAACTGAGTCAAAACACCAAGCCCCGGCTTCCTTAGTGTATCTCAACCATTGAATCGACCAGCCCCATGTTGACAGTCGAGGCTCAGAGAAGTTGATTCACTTGCTCAGGATCACACAGCACAGGCATGAAATCCTCAGGACTCACGCTCTTGCATGCCCTGCGGAGTCCTCTGAGGATCTTGTGAGGACTCTGGCATCTCCCCCCATGGACAGACAGACAAACCGAGGCCCAGGACGGTCAGGCCCTTAGCCGGGGTCCTAGGACATGCTGTCTGATGATACATAGCTGGCACACCCAGGCCCGGAGGTGGGGTCCAGGTTGGCCCCTGGTCCCCAGTGGACATGTCATGCAGATTCTTCTCTCTGCTGGGCCACCCGGGGTTCAGGTGTGGGCTGCTGCAGGTGGGGGACCGTGTCCTGTCCATCAATGGCATCGCCACGGAAGACGGGACCATGGAGGAGGCCAACCAGCTCCTGAGGGACGCGGCGCTCACCCACAAGGTGGTGCTGGAGGTGGAGTTCGACGTGGCCGGTGAGTGGGTGGCCTCTCTTGATCTTGTTCGCGTCCTATGCAATTTTCCCAACACCCTGTCCCTCTCTGTGCCCAGTCCCCTGCTGGGGGACAGCATCCGGTGGGAGTAGGAGGTAGCCTGGGGCTGGATAGGGGATACCCTGAGCTGCTTCTGTGCATGATTCAGCCAAAGGATCCAGATTCTGGTGGTGGGCTCTCCACCCCGTGCGACTCTAGATGGGACACTTTCCCCGTGTGTAAAATAGCAGGTAGAACCCACAAGAGGAGTGTCCTTTGGGTTCAAGAGCATGAATCATGTGACTAGACCCAGCCAGGACCTGGCACATAGTAGGTGCTCAGTAAATCCTTGCTGGATCCAAACTGGATTGAATGTGGCCTTGGGGTCCTCCCACGCTGACTGACAGTCCGCGGCTTGCGTTCCGGTCCTGACTCTGCTCTGACCATCGCGGGTCTGTTGTTGGGAGCAAATGTGTTACTTCTCTGGCCCTCGGTTTCCTCCTCTGTCGCATGGAAGAAGCAGAGTGGTGGTGGAAGGGTCCCTCTCAGGGGTCCCTCCCCGCCAGGCCAGAGTGGGGATCCCCGAGGCTCCCGCTGTGGGCCTCACATCAGCCCCCATCTGTTTGTATGCAGAGTCGGTCATCCCCAGCAGCGGCACCTTCCATGTGAAGCTGCCCAAGCGGCGTGGCGTGGAGCTGGGCATCACCATTAGCTGTGAGTCCCCCTGCTGGAAGCCAGTCCTCAGGCTGCCCCGGAGAGCAAGCCACGCCCCCAGAGCAAGCCACGTCCCAGAGCAAGCCACACCCTTAGCAAAGCCACGCCCCAGAGCAAGCCACACCTCCAGAGCAAGCCACACCCCCAGAGCAAGCCACACCC